AACTTTAATATAAGTTTTTCTTCATTACCCATTTAAGCCGTCTCCAGCCATTATTTTTATATGTTTGGAACAGCATTGTAAGTAGGAAATAGCATAAGTAACTTATGTTACAACTATTTATGCTTGAGAGTGTATGTTACTGAAGTAAACATTAGCCAGGAACTGAATAAAAAAAAAGTGATTAGTACTGATTTATTTAGTATTGAGTACAGATCAGGTAAGTTGCTTTTTTTTTTTTAAAGAAGATTTTAGTTGTACAGAAACATCAACAACTAAAAAAACAAACAAAAAACTGAAGGCCTGGATCTGTAAGATACATTTCAAGGTTATATGTAAAATGTGTTTTATGTTAACACTATACAGACACACAATATATAATTCCTATAAGTAAACAAATATTGTGGTGATTATATACTTTTGTAAATAAAAAAATTATGGTACACATTTTAAAACGTTTAAGAATTTTGTATCATGTTTTTATTCATTAATTTTTTTCAAAGTAACCAGTGACTATTTAGGCTGCAAAATAATAAAAAAAATGTCATGTAGGAATTACATGTTTGGAACAGAAAAAATCAGTAAAATCATAACATAAAAAGGATCGCTGTGAAGAGCGTCAGACACACTTGCTGGGATAGTACCCCAAGTGGAGAATGCTCTGGTTTATATAGAAGATTCAGGTACTTGCCCATAAAACTAACAATCACTGGCTTGGCTCATAATTATTCTGGACTGAAAAAAACAAAAACAAAACTATTAGAATTTGATTCAGTTTGTTTGCTTTATGAAAAATACTTAAATACAGTTCCTTGAAAACAGATTTTCAGGAAGCTTATTCCCAAAATCTTTTAAAGTAAGAGTAGCTCTTACGTATTGGTTTTTTGTGGAAAGGATTATGTCTGGTCAATATCAAACTAAGAGTAATGGTTCACATGTTATGATGATAAGAATGCACTTTGGATCAGGAAATAACTAATTATAAGAGAGTTGATTGTAACTCTTGTTACTTTTAGATGACATTCTTGTTCCATTAAAATAATTTCACTTTTTGCATTTTTATTACTTTGTTCAAAAAGGGTCTAGAGTGACTTTTTAACAGAAAAATTATAAACAGAGAAAAGTATTTTGTTTAAGTTAAACGTTTCTTTAATGTAATTGTTTACATAAGAAGGTTTAAAAAGAAGTCTGAGATCACAGCACAATACAAATATCTCACCCACTTTTTCCAAATTAAGTCAGCAAGTTCTTTATGAACAGTAATGACATTTTTCTTTTCTTTACCAAGAATTGGATTTAACATTCATGTTGTTACTTCAGTTCAGTGGCACAGCAGTATGTCTGCAGACTTACAATGCTAGAATCTGGGTTTCGATACCCGTGGTCAGCAGAGCACAGATAGCCCATTGTGTAGCTTTGTGCTTAATTACAAACAAACAAACTTCAGTTCTGCCGTTAAGTAGAAATTCAAGGAATTGAATGAATATCATGTTAATGAGAAGATAGAGAAGACCAAAATCTGAAAAATTATATTTTGATTAATACTCTGAGTTGGTTACTGAACTAAGTAAGAATGTACCAAGATGGGAAGTGATTTGACAGTAATGTGTAACAAACAATGCAAGCTGCGCTATTATAACATTACCATTTAGAAGAAATAGCTAATCTTATTATTTAATGTATTATGAACAGTATTTTAGGTTCTTTTAAAGTTATATCAATCTTTTTATTTAAGTAAATGTACTTTCTTGATAAAGAATATTGGTAACAAAATTGGCTTGACATTTTTCAATGAAAACATTAATTTAGCTTCTTAGTTTTGCCAGTTCCTTAAATAATTAAACTTCAATGGATTAAGAATATAAAAAAAAAATGTTGCATCCTAAGATTTAAAATCTTTTTTTTAGTAATGAAAAATGTTTTTTTTTTGTTTAGTTCGAATAAAGCGAGTTGGAGCTTAGTGAAGAAGTTTTCTGCTTTGATACTTAGAAGAATTGATAGCAAGATATAACACCATATTAATCCAAAATATTTACATCACTGATTGTAACTGCTGTATCTGTGGGTTTCATTTGACCAAATAATGTGATAGGTATCCCAAATTCTTTACATTCTTAAGTCTTCTTTTGGTTTTTATAATCTTTATTAGATTTAAATTAACAACGTTTTTATATTTTTCCACATCTTGTTACAGTTCCATGATACATCTCTTGTATGTTAGAAATATAGCTAGTGATACACTCCATGATGACAAAAACTAAGACAAAGTTTTCATCACCTACTGTATTTTATCTCTTTTTTTTTAATTATATTTTTCACTATGCAAATATTGCTTTTAGATTTTAATTTATATAAAAAATATTTAATTTAATAAAACTCCTCTTTTAAAGTAAATATCTATGTTTAGTTAAAAGCCACTATCAGCAATTAATAAAGCCAAGGCAGTTTTAAAAAGTAGTTTGATAAGAATAGACAAAAATTATATACATAATCTTTGACCTTGGGATCTTTTAAAGTAAATTTTAAGTACAGGACTGGAAATCATAGCCTAAAGGTAAGGAACAGTAGTAAGATGCTCAAGAAGTAACATAATGTGTATTACAAGGGTGACGAGCATTGAAAGAAAACAAGTATTAAAAACTGAAAAAGCCACTTACTTTGTATAGTATATATTTATAGTACTCTGAACATTAGTTTGAAATTTCATTAATTTTGTTTTTTTAAGACATTTTAAGCTGTTCAGCTATAGTAACATTTGTTTCTAAGAAAACTAATCAAATAGAATTGCATGGTCTAATAAAGAATTTAACTTTGATTGTTAAGTATAAAAGTAAATGCATACACACTACTTTCTCTTTCAATTGTGTTTTAACTTATTTTCATAGCTTAAGCTCTGATATAACAAATTCTAGGTCTTGTAAAATTAACTTGTGTATAGCAGTACCTAAGTAATACTTGACTGTTTTTTTAGATTGAAATTTACTAACAGATTATTGTAAAATTAACTAAGAGAGAACCCTAAACTTAACCCTAAATGTTAAGAAAGTCCTCCTTCAGTGAGCACTTGGGTGTTAGCTTATTTTAATGATCCTGCATCTTTTTCTAAAGTTATAATGGTCAAAAATGCTAGTATATATGCTAAAAACTAGATATGGTAGTTTGATTTGTACAGAAATATATTATTTTGACTCAATGTGTGGTTATATTTTGATGAATTAGTTGTAAGGATAATAGAAAAATACCACTTTTCTTTACAGTTGATTTGTGAAAATGAAGTAAATAAAAAAAATTGATCATTTTGCTTGAATAAAAACTTGTAATTCATATTAATATAAATGTTATTTTAAATATGGGGAATTCCTCTGTCATACATTTGCACTTGTTTTCTAAACTAAATTTTGTTTAAAGATTGTTTTAAGCATTATTAGAGTATTTTATAAATCAAGTGACTTGAATTCATAACTGGAAACTTGAAATATGAAATACCATGTGTTAAATATTCGTATAGGGTTGTATTAATGAAATTAGGAACATTCCTTACAAAGCACCAAATGAAATGTTTCCATTTTATTTTACTCGTATTCTGATATATTTTTTAATATTACTTTTAATATTTTGTGTCATTATTTGATTTTGTAGCAGAGCTACTGTATTGTAGTTTGTGTAGTTATATTATCTTTATGTCAGAGGATATATTTGAAAAATAAAACCAGTGAGTATAATTAAATCCTTTTTTGTTTTTTTGTACTGTTGTTTAAAATATTGCTCGTATATTATGCTTTACTGTACAAAAATAATACAATTATGTAGAATTTGAAGGGTAACAAACAACAGATATCTTTATTTATTTTCTTCCTAGCTTTTACTGCAGTACATTTAGTAGTTACATTATGTTTTGGAATGAAGAAGACCATTTCAAATTATTATTAATAAGATGTGCAAAAACTAAACTTAATGACTGTATGTAAGTATTTTAGTTTCATAATCATGACTATATGTTTCTTCTAAATAAAATGGCAGTGTAGTTGATACATTTACTGTATATGAGTGAAGAAACATAAAATATTTTTTGGTGATTTTAGAATTTTGAAATATTTACAGTTCATCCACTAACACATCAAAAAAAGTTATTAAGATCTTTTGTCTCGATTTATTGATTAATGTTTTAGTGGATAACTTCTCATGCAGAGTTAAGTAAATGTACTGTTTTACAAAGAAGTTACAGCAATCTTTCTTTTCAGTTTAGAGTTCAATGTTTAGGATTGAAAATCCAACTTAAAAGCATGCGCCCTCTAGTAGCAAAGTGGTATGTCTACGGACTTATCACACTAGAAACTGGGTTTTAATACCTGTGGTGGGCAGAGCACAGATAACCCATTGTGTAGTTTTGTGTTTAACTACAAACAAATAAAACTTTCTTCAATCGAGAAGAACAACTTTGAAAAATACAAGTTATAACTGTTTTATATACATTTGTGTGTGGAAAGTGAAAAAGGATGTGTGCCCAATTGATGAAACAATGTATTCTAATCTATATAAGCTAGAATGAAGAAAAGTACACTTGGCTATACTCATTAACAGGTTAATTTTTAATCTCACTCCTAAGGAGGTAACTTGCTGTGATTGGAAGTTAATATTAATTCTCAGCTGGAAGTCCATTATTCTTAATATTCCACACTTCAGTGTGTGTGTCTAAGATATATATTTCATTGTAAGAATCTGTAAGTAACTTATTAAATACAGGAAATATGATTTAAAATCCTATAGGTTGCTGACTTATTACATATACTGTAACATGTGTAACTATTGAAAATTACAAATGTACTCCTGGCTAAAAATAGAGTTCAGGAACAGTATCATGTATTTCTCTCCCTCCTACTGTATTGCTTTAAAAATGTAATTTTTGTAAATTTTTCTAGAGGTTTAGTGCAGGACTTTAATATTTAGTTTATAATAGTTGAGCTCTCTGGTCAAGGACATTGTTTGATGGGATAGTTTGTACTTTACCTCATCCTGAGTGGAAAATTACACAAGCCTACAATGATTTTAGTGTCTAGAAATTTTTGCATGTTTTACAGTAATTCGTTTTTGCTGAATCTGAAAATGATATCCATTTTTCTTCATCACGTACAGATTTTTCACAAAACGTCATATACACTTTAACATAAGGGGATCATTTTCATTGAAATCAGGTCACATTTTGTTATGCTTAAAATGTTGACAACCACTGGCTATAGATTTCTCTAGACCAGTTGCGATGTGAGAGCCTTATCGATCGTTCTGGAACCCATGAGAAACACATCGCTAGTATATAAATAGTTAGCAGGCCACATGATATGTCATTTCTGGATAGTATTTGTTTGTGCATGCACTTTGACATTGTTATTATATTCAGTATTATTTATTCATCACTATGGCAACAAAAGGTTGTGTAAGTGACCCAAACATATTCTGTTATGTTTGTGGTAAATTTGTTGTAAAGAAGTAAAGGCAAAACATTACAGAATTCGTCAAAAAATTGTATTACACATATTTCGGAATAAAAACTTGACGACCAAAACAAGTCATGGCTCCACATACAGTCTGCACATTTGTGTCAAAGAGTTGAGTTGAGTAAGAAAAAGTCTTTGCCTTTTGGAATTCCAATGATCTAACATGAGCCTAGAAACCATGGAGATGACTGCTATTTTTGTTCATGTAACTTGCAAGCCTACAACACTCAAAATAAAAAAGGAATTTTTTATTCAAATCTTCAATCTGCTATAAGACCTGTTGCTCATGAATCTGCGTACCTACTCCGCCAGAGACTCTTCATACAGTTTCACATGATTCTGAATCTGATGTCAATAGAAACGATGATAGGGATTTTTTTCAACCTGTAACGGCCGGATGATCAAGGGGAAAGGTTTCATCAAGACATCAGGGAAATTGAGAGGAGGTATCAGGGAAGGTTGAACATCAGCATGATGGCTGATTACTGCTGGTCATTGAAACAAGATGCTCCAGACACAATACTTAAAAGAAAGACCACAATACATAGTTTTGAGACTAAAAGATGTAGATTTCACAAAAAATATCAGGATGAATGAGGATGCATATTTGTTTGACATCAATGTTCTTCTCTTTTCTTCAGT